GGGAAGCGTGTAATACATTGGAATGCTCGGATTCAGCTTAACAATCTAGACTTCACTAATGATCTTGCCCGTCTATCCAACTTATAACTAAAAACGGACGGTGTATTGGCAGTATGTCTCGACACGCAAACACAAGGATAAAAGCAAGATTCTCCGGTACAACACGACGCGCACTATCTAAATCACACCTAATTGAGAAGCCCTGTGATTTTTGATACCTATGTGAATACAGGGGTTGGTAAAGCATGGGCCGGATTGCTAAAACTGAAGGAATTTTAGATCTCAAAACCACTGTCAAACAATATCAACATCAGAGTTTTCAATACAAACGCCATGGCTAAGTTTGAAGCTTACTGAGCGTAGGAAAGACGCCGTAAGAAAGCCTCTTAGGGTTTTACTTAATGATAATAAGGCGAAGAATATATTTCAGGAACGACTAGAAAGACAGTTAGACGACCATTTAAGAGATTCCCATCCGGAAGCAGGATGGAATGATATCAAAAAGGCTGTGGAAACACCACTTATATCTGCTAGTAAGGTTGACCATAAGGCTAGAATGAAGCCATGGATCTCAGTAGCATCCACCGATCTGATGGATGCCCGAAAACTCATCCCACCTGGCTCTGAACATGATGAAAAACAAAGTCAACTTAGGATCAGACTTATAAAAAGCCTACGTAACGACCGCGAACAGTGGTGGGTGGCGAAAGCAAAAGCGATGGAAAAGGCAGCGGCAATAGGCAACAGTAGACAACTTTTCCGACTTATAAAGGAAACTGGTATTGAGAATCCTAGTGTAAGTGAGACTATCTCGGAAGATGCTTGGACTATTATTTATTCTCAATCCAGGAGACTGGATCGATGGGCAGAACACTAGGGATCAGTTCAACTGGCCACGAGCAACTCTTCGGTTACCCACGATCTCCAGTCCTCCTGAATGGCAAATCGACGTAAGTCCCCCTAGGTTTTATGAAGTTGAGAAAGCGTTAGGAAATCTGAAGCGAGGGCGAGCTGCAGGTCCTGATAGAATGCTGCTGTTCATTCTGGAGCACTTGTTTAGATTCAGATCATGCTCTAGTGCGGGCGCGTATTTGTTTTCGACTTACCGGACGTAGGAAAGACACCGTAAGGAAGCGTCTTATGGTCTTACTTAATGATAATAAAGCTAGGAATATATTTCAGGGGCAGCAAGAAAGAGAGTTAGTCAACCACGTAAGCGATTCCCATCCTGAAGTAGCTTGGAATGATATCAAAAAAGCTGTGGAAACAGCAGTGATATCTGCTAGTAAGGTAAACCAAAAGGTTAGGGAGAAGCCGAGGATTTCAGTATCATCTACCGAACTGATGGATGCTCAAAAGCTCGTCCCACCTGTCTCTGAGTGCGATGAGGAGCGGAGCCGCGCAGGCTGATAAAAAGCCTTTGCAATGATCGAGAACAGTGGTGGGTAGCGAAAATAAGGGAGATGGAAAATGCAGCGGCGATCGGCAACAGTAGACAACTTTTCCGACTTATAAAGGAAACCGTTATTAGTAATCCAAATGTGAGTCTATCTCGGAAAAGAATTGGACTTTTATTCATTCTCAATCCAGGAGACTGGATCGATGGACAGAACACTTTAGGGATCAGTTCAACTGGCCTCTAACCACTCTTCGGTTACCCACGATCTCCAGTCATCCTGAATGGCAAATCGACGTAAGTCCCCCTAGGTTTTATGAAGTTGAGAAAGCGTTAGGAAATCTGAAGCGAGGACGAGCTGCAGGTCCTGATAGACTAACCCCTGAGATATTTAAGGATGGTGGTCCAGCTTCAGCAGCTAGGTTGACTGAGATCTTATGCAGAATCTGGGTACTGGACACAATCCCATCCGAGTGGTCTCAATCACTGATTGTCTCAATCTATAAGAAAGGACACAAGTCTTCTTGTGACAATCACAGGGGAATAAGTCTAACTAATATAGTATCCTAAATGTTGGCCTCAGTAATACTTCGACGCTTAACGAAAACCCATGAAGAGCAGACTAGAGAAAACTAGGCTGGTTTCAGACCTGGACGTGGATTTACAGACCACATCTTCACTCTAAGACAGATCCTGGAACACAGACACACATTTAGGCGTCCTACAATAGTTGTCTTGCTGGACCTTAAGACGGCGTTCGACTCTGTTGATCGTGAGGTTCTGTGGCAGTGTTTGTCATTGAAAGGTGTACCAAAGAAGTACATTAACCTTATACAAGCACTCTACTCGAACACCGCTGGTCGAGTGAGAGCTTATGGCGAACTGTCACCGGAATTCTTTACTTCAAGTGGTGTCCGTCAAGGATGTCCACTCTCTCCATCCTTGTTCAATTTTATCATAGACATGCTCCTAGATATAACCTTATCCTCGTCTGAGTTTTCAGGAGTAGATCTTTTAGCAGGAGACTTGTTTATTGACCTTGAATATGCCGATGACATAGTCCTACTTGGTGAAGACGCTGACAAAATGCAGAGTCTTATAACCACCCTAAGCAACAATGCAAGCATGTTCGGGATGCGGTTTTCCCCCTCGAAATGCAAAATGTTAATTCAAGACTGGGTTGCATCGGCACCTGAACGAGTGATAGGGAGTGAAGTGGTTGAACGTGTAGACCGCTTCACTTATCTTGGGAGTCTCATCAGTGCCGATGGCCTGGTGACTGACGAAATCTCGGCACGGATACAGAAGGCTCGATTGGCTTTTGCCAACCTGCGTCACTTATGGCGTAGGCGAGATATCCGTTTGCTGACTAAAGGACGAGTGTACTGTGCAGCAGTTCGCTCCGTTCTTCTATATGGCTGTGAAACATGGCCAGTGGGAGTAGAAGATATTCGTAGGTTATTGGTTTTCGATCATAGGTGTCTTCGAAGCATTGCTCGTATATCGTGGGACACCCGAGTGAGCAACGCTGTTATTAGGAATCGGGTGCTAGGTAAGAATGGCAGATCAATAGACGCAGTAGTGATACTACATCATTTGAGGTGGTTGGGACATGTGTTGCGTATGCCTAACCACCGACTGCCTCGACGAGCTTTGTTTTGTAGTGTAGGAATAGGTTGGAAGAAAGTTAGGGGCGGTCAGACCAAAACATGGCATAAATCCATGAAGTCATTGACGAGTGGACTTAGCCATGTCGGTAATTGTCGTCTACCTGGTTGGGGTCTGCGAGATGATAATAATCAATGGTTAGAGACCCTGAACAACATGGCTCAGAATCGTTCGCTATGGCGCCGGTGCATTTATTCTTTGTGTTCTCTCAAATCCTAATCTTCTGGATTCTCCAACACCTCTAGTTTTGACTTTCTAAACTTTTCTCATTGAATCATACTTCTTGAATAATATCTTCTAATCCTAACCTCTCCCATTACTGCTAATACCTTAACTACCTCTACTACCATTGGATTTGAATTGACAACAACATCTGTGTGCTGATGTGGTATGGCAACATGAACTGATGTACTTACGTACGAAGTTCTACGTTGCATCTGACTGACTGACTGAGGATAATCATTAATATTTGAACTTATAGTTCGAAAAAATTGAGCTCCGAGTATCTAAAAGACATAACTTGTGAAAACTGTCTGTGAAATAATCTCTGCGATTGAAATTTTAGATAATTCCAAAGTTTCTTCAAGCTTTTTATTTTGGGGTTAGGGTAGTTGTGGAAATCAAAATTATCAAAGAATGTCCACTATTCTACTGTGTGGTTCGGGACCTTGAAGTACTACAAATGCCATAGTTCAAAAGACACAGGTGTTTATTAACGGTTGTCTACACAGAATGTTTCGGACCCATCGTTCATACACCATCAACAATAGCCTACTGTGAAAGGTAACACACCGGCCTCCGATTGAGGACGAAATATGGAAAAATCACAAGAGGTGGTTAGGAAACACGTTGCGGGAGGCATCCAACTGCATTAAGAGTCAGCTCCTAATGTGAAATCCTCAAGGTTGAAGGGAAAGAGGAAGACCAAAAACACGTTGTATTGGGGATTATAGGAAGACGTGAAAAGAATAAGTGTCAATATGAAACCGCTGGAATGTAGAGCTGTTGGACGAAGTAAGTTATGGGGTGTTTACTAGCGCGTTGGATTTAAACTTCTGGCTGGTTACTTCTTAGGGTCGACACTACGGTACTGGAGGACGGGTGAGATGTTGCGGCCAATATATCCCGAAGGCAAATAGTTGAGCAAGTCTTGGATACTGATATTCACTGCATTAGTTTTAGTGAAAAGACTAGCTGAGGACGCTCAGCCAATCACCCACAGCAGATCACCGTTTGGTTTGTCATGCTACAAATCCCAACGCGACGGCTAGTTAGCTTAAATTACTAGCCTCTCGAAATTCTTGTTCATCAAACATATTTTCTGTTTCCTGCATTCCTGCCTTCTAGTTGTTTTTGTACTCTTGATTTGAAAGATATCAGGGACAAAAGGATTTCTGAACCCTGGATATCCTACGTCTTTACACTTTTACTATGTACGGAACCATATGACGTACTTAAAAATACAATCGGCCTTCTTTTCAGGTGTGTCTAGTCAGTGAGCACAAGCATCACTTCAATTTTCCTTTCCATCAGTGATATTTATATTGAATTCGAGCACATTTCAAACTTCAAATACTACTGATCTTTAGTTCGTTAATATTTAAATATAGGTTGTCTCTCACTTCACTTTGCACACGGTCAAATATATGAGGTATTGCTGATATTCTTATTCGATAACTGTGGGCCGTCAGCACATCAATTTTTGGTTTACGCTCGGAAGCTGTCATCAACGCGGATGAACTAAGTCAAAACTCTCAAACACAGCGCTGCTGTACGCTGACATCTGTAAAGTGTATCTTTGTCCTGATGACGTGCAATATCGTCTTCTGATCATCAGCATACTGAAGCTCAAAAAAAGTTATCTAATACACAGTGCTATTGAACATTGAACAAAAAGTAAAAAGTGCTTTCTCAAGAAACATTTAGAGGAAAGTATAATAATCATGATATTGCTTCGTCCGATAACTAAGATTTTTTTTTGGAAAAGGTCAACGTATTTTGTTTATGTGGACTCTTATCCGTTACTGATAGAGCCGGTTTCCACTGTAAGGTTGGTTGGGATCGTTTGTATACAGAAGTAAATCTGCTTGTACATATTGTACATAGACACTATGGACAGTAAGGTGAATTTCAAGGAACATATCCCTAAAGTTCACAACCACGAGTTTGTTGATAATGAACACACTAGCTATCTCTCTAAAATGCCTGCAGCCACAGCGGAGCAACTAACCATCGCAAAAGTATTATCTAGGCCAGATAACGATGTAAATATTCGGTGTTATGTTGTTCAGGTATGCTGCCTTTTACAGTAAACTTGAGATTTCAGCTTCAAGAACTAACTAAGTGTTCAGAGGACCAGGCAGTCACCGCATTATATGACTGCGAAAATAACATTGAGAGAGCGGTTGAGTTAGTACTTGACCAATTTCGCTGTGGCACAACAGAGGAATGGCACACAACTGTCAGCAAGCGCGGAAAGACGAAGCACACTCAGTCGGTATGTACATAGTTACTGTTAGAGCCTTGTAGGTATCTGAACAGGCACCAGATACATTGGTACTCCAGAAAAAAGCTTCCAAACCTAAACTTGAAAAGTCTGTTGAGAATCAGGATAGGATTACGGGACAGAACGGTCCAGTATCTCCAGTTATCGTCGCTAAAGTACCTTTAATAGCTTAGTAACATCTTTTAGAATCCAAACTCGCACCCAGAAAAGTTTAAGAAATCAGGGGCAAAAAAACGAAGCACGCACAGAACAGATACAGTTCCTAGTGAAAGAGTTTCCATCCCACCACAAAGTCATAAGAATGATGCGTTGTGCAACACGAAGCAATTTCCGGTGGAAAGGAAAAATAGAAATGAATCTGAGGGTATGCTCAATATATGTCCCAACTTATATTTAGCTTGGGATCCATATGCCGACTGTGGGGAGTGGGAAGGTGATTCAATCGAAATAGTTAATTCGAATGCATCCATTGCAATGGGTCTGCAAGAAGCAGTATCTTTAATGCCAGAACTCTTCCATGATGATTCAAACTATTCGGAAAAGTAACTCTCTTCATCTCGATTTTTATTTTGAGTTTTTAGAAATTTAAATGCAGATGATAATTCGCATGTTGATGCTGTCCAGAATCTCACTAAAGATCCGGACGCATTGGATGCAGAGTCACTGTTCGTGTCAGTCGCAAAAAGCAAACCACCTCCTCGTGCGTTTGCTGGAAAGTTGGATGTTTCCCTGTTTTTCGCCCCAGAATTATTACCTAATGAGCAGTTGAACTGGAAACCGACCTTTGGTGGTGAATCACTTTGTTCAAAGTTTGGTTCTAATGCAGCTACGATCCTGAGTCCTGGAAAGATTGGCAGTAATGCAGACGAGCCACTTCGTGTACAAAATGATTCTCGAACTCTCCGGACATCCAAAGACCAACCCGAATGTAGTCCAAAGCAGTTCGCGTTTCCACAAATATCGCAGCAGTCACATCCTAGCGATTTTGAAATTAAAAATACGTCATTAGGTGTCCTTTTAGATCCTCCATCTAAAACGGAGGAAAAGGTAAGTAGTATTGCCGGTGACTATCCATCACGACATGAACAAATGGTGTCAAAAGTGGCACTCTCATATCCAGTAAATCATAATAAACAGCCACCTTCAATTGTTGCCAGAACCACCACTGAGAAACCCAACTATTTGGAGCCAGCTATAAAGAACTACCTTTTGGAGGGTCTACCGGATAACATGAGCAAGATGAACGTTGGTGAAGTCTCTGGACAAAGCACAAAAGATCAGTTTCCGATCCAGAATAATGCACAGCCATCCCTTGCCCCCTTCTCTCATGGTCAAAATGATCAACACATGATTCCTCCTCACTTAAATAAAATACCTGCATCGCATGCTAGCACGCACGTATCTGGACACACTCAGCAAGTAAACAATAATACTCAAGCGACTCATCTTCCTCCAGGTATGCCTCACTTCATCAGTCAGTTTGCTCCGCCTGCTTATCACATGTTCAACCTACCAGGAGGTTCCAGCACAACTTCTGCTATCTTTGATCTCGATCATCTACAGCTCTTGCAACAACAGAGGATGTTGTATGACATGCACTTGCAACACCAAGCTGCCACTACAGCTCAAAGTCTTCTCACTGCAAACGCGGATTCTTCAACCTCGGTAAAACCCGTCAGCCACAATCTGTCCAACTCAATGGGTCATGTTACTGCTGCTAACACAGGGATGAGACCTGACATGCTAACAACCGCACTCGGGCACACTCCACAAATGATGACACATGGACACCCATACTTTCCTTATCCCGGTTTCGTCCTCATGGTAAGTCGGGTATTAACTTAATGTCTTTGCATTGCTCATAATTATTGATCAAACAGTGTAATACCAATATGCTGTGGTCTGCAAGCTCTAACTAGACATTCTGTTGAAGCTTATTGATTTTACGACCCGTGAAGGTTAGAAATACAGTGTGGTTCGCATATGTTCGGTCCCGTTTATCTCTTAATTTGTGTGGTTTACTGCAGGTATTCAGAGGTTCATCTCTGCGTTGGCTGCGTTAGCTGCGTTAGCGTAAACTGGCTTAAAGTCATTGGTTTACCGTCCATTATAGAGAATGCCTCACACTAAGTTGATATACGTGAGACTGCCGTTCATATGAACACAGACAATGTTAACTCCATATATCCAGATTCCCTTCCCAAGTCATATCTATGCTTAGCTTTTTCTTTTGCTTGTACTGATACTACTTACACTTCTGCTGTGATGTAGCGCTTCGAATCAATGCGTACATGTGGGAGGCTAATCGTTTCAATTAGCCGACTGACTTCTCACCACTAGCTTGATGGAATTATTTATGGCTTACAAGTTACTAGTGCCCTCGGCCGATATAACTTGTTACTTAACACCCATACTTCATGAATATTATCTTCAAATCCTAATCTCCATTAGCAGTAATTATTCTACTATCTCTATCACTATGGGATTCGGATTGACAATTGCGTCTCTGTGCTAATGTGGTGTGACGACATGAACTGATGTACTTACGTAAGAAGTTCTACATTGTAACTGACTGACTAGCACCCATACGTGACGACTTTCGAATCTAGTCCATAGAGACTAGGCCACACCTTGGCTTTTCGGTAGGTGTTGAAAAAAACCACAGTATCTTTGAACCAATTGGGCTACCAAAATGTTTGACTGTGTTCTTAGCTGTCTAGTCTGAGAACGGGTTGATATTTTTCAGATATAGTCCTACTCATATATCACTTTAACCCAAGTCCTTAATGTTTCTGCATGGTTGTTTAGGCTCACCCATCGCCACTGTCTTTCGCAACACCCTTGCTTTGATTGCCCGTCACTGCTCCCGGTAGACGTGTTGTTATTCCAAACTCAAGTTTCATTCCTCGTCATGCTTGGAGGTTGATGGGATAAGTTTCCGAAGCTTCCTGACCCCGTCACGGCATACTAACCGTTTGATTTAGGTTGTCAACAGATGTTGCGGTTATTATTACGATAGTGCTCATCATTTCAGAGTTCCTCGTAATCAGCATCCTTCCAGTCGCCTTACGGTCCTATTATACCAAGCATGTCTTCTGGAAGGACGGTAAGACTGAATTTAGCGAGGTCTGAGGGCTAGATCATACTACTGACTTTAGAGGGGTTTGGCAGCAGTAAGGTATTTCCCTCGGACAACCAGAATCTGCAGCGATGCTGCCTTCTCACAAGGAAGGAAGGGTTAGAAAATGTCACCTCACCCTACTTCAAGGATTTCCGTCTCCGTTGGTAAGGCCTGCCTAATAAGGGCTTTAAAAAGAGCGGAGCTAATACTCATAAAAAAGGCGTGCGTGAGCAGCCCCGAGCAGTTGTTGCTTGGGCTCTGCAGTCACGATGCCAGGTCTCTAAGACCAACGCTAATCTACCTTCCTTTTCAAGTTCCTCAAGAAAACACCCACGGTGTGGGCAGCCGGGGAGTGACATCTGCTCTCATAACCGTAACATCACACGAGACCAACTCGATCACAACCAAATCCTTCCTACACCCCCTAACATCTCTTATCTCAACGACTAACCCTGCTATCATTCCTTTATCACCGCGCGCCGCCTATGCAAATGATTGGAGCACGCAAAACGTCATTCCTGGTCTTCTGAAACCCCTCCCCAAACCACAGGATGGAGCTTTTAATGTTCAGACCTTGTGCCAAATAGGACAACAGGCTTCCTTAGCAAGAATTTTCAAATCTCGTGCTATCGATGTATGCTGGATCTCCGAAGCGCGCATACAGGATCCGAGTAGCGTCGTTCATTTGACCTCACCATGTCAAGATAAAGAACAATTGGCATCTACACTTCGTTTAACTGAATGCCTCACTGCTGTTTCCTGTGGCTTCACCGGTGTTGATATGGCATTGAGTCCTAGGGCAGAACTAGCTCTCTTAGACTGGATTCCAGTAGTAATGACTGGTGATTTCAATGCTCAAGTAGGTAGACTAAGCTAGACTGAGACACCCTGGTGGATCTTATGGTGTCGCAAGTGATCGAACAGACAATGGCGACCGTCAGCCACATCTATGCTCAGATAACTTCTTTTTTTCTCGCAAATACTATCCTTAAGCATCAGGAAAAACATTTTGATATTGCGATCCCCAAATCGACCGAGCCAGACCACATTGCTGACGGTCACTGATGGAGAGTCCTAGTAGGAGACTGTCGCTCATTCTGGAGCACGTGTTAAGATTCAGATCACGTTCTAGTACGTGAACGTATTCGTCTGCCCCTACTGAGGGTAAGAAGGAGACATCAAAAAACCCCTCAATGATAGCAAAGCCAAGAATACAATTCAGGCGCGACTGGAAAAACACTCGTGTCAGCGATGCTCACCTATCTAAAAAAAACGCAGCAATGGCATCTGCCACTGAGTGAAACCAAGTGGTTAGGAAGGAACAGTGGGTTTTTATGGCATCAGGTGAACTGATAGACGCTAGAAACCCATTCCATCTCGCCGTGCACAATGACGAACGGAGGCAGCTCAGAGACAGGCCTAATGACCGCGTATCGAATGCCCACAAGATGGAAATGCGGAGGTGATGGATAACAATAGACAGCAATTCAGACTTATCAACCAGACTGAGAACTAGTTTCAGACCTGGGCGTGGATGTGTAGACCATATGTTCACACTTTGGCGGGTCGTAGAACATAAACGCTGATTTCGGCCTATGACAATTGTATTCCTTGAACGATTTGGATAAATTATTCCTAAGTCTAGATATTATTCCGGTTACATCTTTGTGGACTAATTTCAGAGGACAATATTCTCCTTTAAATAAGGAAACAAGGTTGCTCATTTTATGCTATATAGTTTCTATGTACTGTAAATGACTTCATCATTTCCGTGGTTAGGTTAGTTCAAGCTTTTATTTTAGATCCATAAAAAATATGAATTAAGAACTAATTGTCCTAGAAAGCCTATAACACGTAAATTAATTTATATTCGACTTCTGGCGTCCGAATAATGCAAGTAGTTAGTAGTTTGCCTTAGAATCATGGTTGGGAAGTGTAAAGTAGGATTAATTAACTCTGCTACAGCGTTATCAAAGAACAAAGAAAATTAATCTGACAATGTATTCCATCGCATCTCATTTTTTAATGCTGGATTCTGAGCAACAAAGGTATATACTCTTACATTATGGTAGTTTAGTAGCCCGTTCGTGATATCGACAAACGTAATGTTTGCTTTCTTTTAAACCTAATCTCTTAGTTACACCCTTAGATTTGTTATGAAGCTTGTATAACTTAAAAACCATGGTCTATTTTCATTTCTAACATCCTGATTAATATTCTTTTTGTTTTTCAGAATGGTTATCCAAATCCATTTTTAAACCAACAGCAGCCAAATTCAGACAATTCTCAGGTTCAAAATCCTGGTCAGTGTGCATCGCCAATAACTCAACACCAAACCCAATTGAATCAAGCCCAATCTTACAATAGTCTCAAGCAGCTTGCTAGTGGAGTTGGGAACTATGAAGATTTGTTAGACGTTAAGTATGGTGACCCACCAAAACAAGGTTTGTATCGTAACAGTAATTTTACAGTTAGATGTGTTTGATCTTTTCAAATACAGTTTGTTTGGCTTCTACGAGTTCCATTTTTTTTGAAAGCAACTATCCACTGCATGATATAAGACATTTCCCTCTTATTGCATTGTGCTTCATTAGTGTAGTGGTATTTAACATTTGATTTTTTTTCGTTCGTGCACTACGCAGACATAACCTACACGGATTTAAAACTACAGGTGAACCTATATCTGTACTAATTAGTCGTTACCAAGACAGGGCTCGGGACAAATACGTGTTTCGTCCAATTTGCATACCTAATCAACTAGAGAATATTAAATGACTCAGAATAATTATGGTAGTACTGGTAATAAAAAAGACAAAACACAGAACGAAGACCTCAGAAGGAAATATTGATAAGGTATGTATGAAGTAGTACTGGAAGTTAGAGGAAACTATATTTAATGTCAGTATTTCATTGTGACCGCTTCTCAACTGTGCCAACCATCCTCTCCAAACTTTGGTTACCTTTCGGTCCCTAAAATAGCAAGTGACCATTAGTTTTGTCTGTTTTGATGAAGAATGACTTTATACTTCGTTTCGCTGGTTATGCTGAAATCAGTTTCTGATCTCATACTGTTAGTGGGACATAGGTGGGATTAAAGCATGACTAAGTTGCTGCGCGGTGATTGGCTAATTTCCTATTCAATCAGCGTCTGATCGATTCTTGGAGAACAGGGTATACAATTCTCGTGTTGTTAGCTTCATGCTGATTGGCTATATCTAATCCAGTCGATCACGTGAATTACTATCCAGAAGCTTCTCATGTAAATACCATAAAGAAACTAACGTTGTATCTATTTTGCCTTCGGCTTCTTATTTCCATTAACCTTGCTATTTGGAATATAATCTTTTCCTGTTCCACCGTGTTTTTGATTCTTTGTATTGTGGCCAGAGAATACTAAGTAATAGGAATTAGCCGGGAATTATATAAGCGAAGCGTTAATGTGATTAGATGACTGGAACTACATATTTGTTGCCCACTGCCACTTTTGTACTGTTCATACTTATCTCATAATGCTAGTGCATTTTGTCATTGTATATTAAGATATTCATAATAAACCCGTTGATTTCTAATATACAACCTGTCATTAAACTATTTTTGTGTTTTTTCGCTTCAGTTGGTTTCAAAAATAGCTCAAACCCACCCAACTATAGCTCATTTCAGTCTCAAGGGATGTCGTTAGATGCTGTCAGTGGGAAGTTATCTTCTGCTTCTCATTCCAACAACGGTTCTCTGGTTCAAAATTTTAACCATGGGAATACCAATTCTCATGCACAGCACTTTTCGCCACAATTTTATGCATCTGCTTCGGGTTCGCCGTATATAAACACAGTTGCTGCTGCAGTAGCTGCAGCTGCTGCTGCCAAACATGGGCCCAGTAATAACTCTGCAGTCAGTACAAATCAATCGAACCCAAATATTGGTGTTGCTACTAACCAAGCTGGCGCTGTTACTGGACAAAATCAGATACATTTAACTGGGAACCCGTCTCAAGGAATGGTTCTTGGTAATACCGGTCAAAGTTTACATCATCACCAGCGTGCTCCGATTCCACATCCTCAACATTGATCTAAATAAATTGCCGATAAAGTTATTATGTTATGCTAGTTGTTGTTCATTACATTGTTTCGGCCATAGAATGTCCATAGAATGGTTTTTAATCGACTTCACTTAGGCGATCGAGACATATTTGCCTTCAATATCTTTGGCATGTGTAAATATATAAAAACGTTCTACCAAGATTATTACATTGAGACATGTTTTCTTTTCAAGCTATGTTTGTGCGAAATGCTTGCATTAGGTTTTCACTTCAACTTCATTTTCTCTGATGTTCACATCTTCATATGTTGCATATCTCATGAGCTTTCGTTTTTTATTCATTCTTATGTTCGTTCATCTTGATCCTTATAAATCTAAAGCATTGATCTAAAATAAATTTACTTGACGTATCTTCTTGTTTTCTGTCAACTTGTTAGTCGGATTACTGATTATCATTATTGGTTTTCAGGCGGCTGCATGATGGCAAAGACTGTTTGCCTAAAAAGGTATTCACATGACTGGTATCCCTATGTTCATCAATATGGATATTATGATCCAGTGACAGTTGGTAGCATTGACGGCACAGATATGATTCCACATGATCGGGCAATCCAGCGTGCTTTATCATCATCTTATAGAAGTAAAGATAATGTTTTTAATTGGAATCCGAAGGTACCTATTAGTGTTGAATTTTATGATCGAAATTGTTGCTTACAGTGTACTTCACTTTTGTTGTCAAACAGCTCTGAGTAATATGAGCTTACACTTTCCACAGCGAACTTCATAGTAGGGGTTGATCACTCTCAGAGTCCTTTTTTGTGCTGTTTCCAGTAAAAAGTAACTTCGAGGTATCATTAGATGTAATATATCTGGTTAAGGTGGTGGGTAGTTTGTGTTTATTATGTCAAATGTATCCTGGATTACGGCATTTACATTCTGATAAAGAAAGATATCTTTATCAGAGCTATCTGCAGATTGCAAGTAGTCTAGCATAAAATTGATTTCAGTGGTATCTTGTAAGAATAGCTCGGCTAATTTCCTTGACATATGCAAGGATCGTTGGAGTCAGTTTGTTACTCGGTTTCGGAGTTAGACTGCATCCATCGACGGTGTTTCCCACTAATTAACAACACTAATTCTAGTTAGGAGATAAGACATTTCAAGCACTATACTTTGCGACAAGGTGAGAAATCTAAAGCGCAAACTGCCATTTAGTATAACGAAGCTGAAGGAAACAGTCGGTTTTAAAAGCTTAGTGTTGTTCAACCAGTCTCACCACTTCGTCATGGCAACTCCAGTTACCCATTAGAGTTATAGAGATTAGTGTTTTTACACATTTGAAATCATCAATCAATCATTGTCAGATCACCATTAGAAACCTAGAAGCACTGGACGGCCGTTTCGTCCTGGTATGAGACTCATTAGTTATGTTAATCTGGGAAGCTAGTAGACTGTCCTGTATTCAGTTTTCCCATTTAGTCGGGATGGCAAATTGCGAGGCCATTCATGCATTTACTTGTGAATTTATTAACTAATGAGTGGACCCTGTTTTGCGGAACTTGGTTTTGATTCAAAGCCTAAGTTGATACATAATTACCAACCATTAATGCTCATCGTGATATCATCAGCTCAGCTGATCATCTATTTCCATTAGTTAGTGGATTTCATGATTTCGATGATGTACTAGCTTTTTGAATGGTATCATGACAACTAGTTGATGACTCGTTTATTGATCTAGTGCTCACAAGAGTTACCATCTGGTCTACAAATGCAGTATCTTAAATTAGCATCTAATTATAGGAGGTCCTCATTTGGCTCTCTAATATCCTGTCTGGTATTTAGGCTCATGGATCGGCAATTCGGCGTTCACGTATACTTAATTAAGTTGTGGAGTTGGCGTTATTGACGTATTTATAAAATACAATAGTCACGTGATATAGAATATTTCTCATTTTAGTTGCTGGGGCTTTTTTACTTAGTGCATGTTTTATGTGGATTTATTTCCGTATCTTCGAATTATTAATGTATTAAGGAAAGAACAACAATTGTATTCTAGTCCATACAGCCTGAGTAAATTACATACCTAATGTAGGTTTCGTGTTCAAGTGCTTGCGTTTATCATCATTGCAGTATAACAACGGGCCCCATGTCTGATAACATATGACACCACTAAGTGAAATGATATTTAGGTCCTCACACAGCGCATGGTTGCTAACCAGTGAATTTCAATCAAATATCAACCTTTCATGAATTGATTGCTTACGATACCAAAAATAACTCAAGATCTTGTCGGATCTGAGCAAAACATATACAGTGTTTTACGAGATACGAACAACTCTTGTATTGTTTATTTTAACTGATTTACTGTTTTTGTTTCACTGGTGGACTAATTAGCTAATAATACATCTATTTAGAGGATTAGTCGTAAAACTTATGTATATTAATGTTTTTGTTATCGGCGTCACTGTTTACACTTAATCTTTTTCTCGTTAATATTGAGGCTACAATATTTGTAGGGAGGCTACCTTATTATACTTCAAAAATTTGTTTACAAGAAGCGCTGCATAATCTGTTGAATAATCATTTAGAAAATGATTCAAACAGCAAGTCTAGGAAATACAGTCGTAGTCGTTCTCCATTTTCTTCAAGCGATGAAATTTGGCCAAAAATTCATATTGTTCACAATGTAGTTACTGGTTATCCATGTGGCTATGCATTTGCATATTTCTCATCAGAATCAGATGTTGAACGTGTACTACGTTCTTGGCGCAATCAAACTACTATTTCAACCAAATTATACTGTGGACTAAAAGATGAACGACATTGTGGTTTAAATATACCTAATGGTGATAAGGTTTGTTTCGATATGGTTTCATAATTGTTATGTGATAAAATATTAATGCCTACTCAATGGAATTTTTAATACAACTAAACAATCGAGCACAAAGTCATGTGGTTTAATTTGAACAAAAATATTTCATATATGAGGCTAGTGATGCTACTTGACTGTTCAAACGAACAGAAACCATGTTGTTGGAAATCAATTTCTAAAACCATTGCGTTAACCTATCTAATTTATATCCGCCTGGAGCCCCTCTGGGTTACTGCCGGTCCCAATCCCGGATAAAGAATGAGGGTTGGCGACCCCATCTCATAAAGCAAACTAACTCTCTAAAAGAACACTAACCAGAAAACAAAATTCAAGCCATTTTAAGAAGACGTATCATTTACTGCAAAAATATTTCACATTCTCTTCAGCAAGATTTGGGATGAGGAACAATTACCATCAGACTGGAAAGAAGGATAGCTCATCCAAATACCAAAGAAAGGCAATCTCAGCAAATGTAAGAACCACAGAGACATCACTCTTCTCTCAACAGCAGGCAAAGTCTTCAACAGAGTAGTGTTGAACAGAATGACGGACTTCGTAGACGACCTGTGGTGCGTGCTACATATAAGTAGTATATGACGCGAGTGAAAACGTAATGTCTGGCAGGAGAAGATGGGGGAAGATCAAGAAAGGAAGAGTGGGAACACAATGGAATTTGTATGAAACGCATGAGTAGTGAAATGTCAGACAATGGATTGATGATGGATTGAAGATTTGTAAATTAACCGTTTACGATATGGTTTTCCTATTTTACTGAGTAACTCTGTAATTTTCGATAAATACAGTTCGGTTGCCGTCACGTGCGTTCTCCTTCACTACAGACCAACTTCGAAATCAACGGGTTGGATTTCGTAAGGATCGATCGTGTACCGATCAAATTAAAACATTAAGAATCATTGTGGAACAGTCAACTGAATCGAACTCACCACTCTACATCAACTTCATCGACTACGAGCAAGCATTCGATAGCGAGGACAGGAAAACACTATGGAGGATTCTTTAACACTGTTGCGTGACTGAGAAGATAGTCAACATCATACGGAATTCTTATGATGAATTCAACTGCAAAACCGTGCACGGAGGACAGTTGACAGACTCTTTTGAGGTGAAGACCGGTGTCAGGCAAGGTTGCTTACTCTCACCCTTTCTCTTTCTCCATTTGATCGACTGGATTATGAAGACGTCAACATCTGGAGGGAAGCACCGTATACATTGGACAACCAGGATGCAGCTGGACAATCTAGACTTCATATATGATCTGGCTCTTCTATCACACACGCAATAACAAATGCAAGAGAAGACGATCAGTGTAGTAGCAGCCTCAGCAGCAGTAGGTCTCGACATACATAAAGGGAAAAGCAAGACTCCTCTATACAAAACAACATGCGCCAACCGAATCACTCTTGATGGAGATTCTTTGGAAGACGCTAACACCTTCACATATCTGAGCAACATCCTTGATGAGCTATGTGAATTTGATGTAGATGTTAGGGCGTGGATCGGCAATGCAAAGGTTGTATTTCTACAATTTGACAACATCTGGAACTCCAAATAACTATCAGTCAACACCAAAATTAGGATTTTCAATACAAATGTCAAGACAATTGTTGTCCAGACACCATCAGCAACAACCTATTGTGGGAGAGAATTAGCCCTATATGTAAATAATTCCGTTCATCCAGCTTTATTAGATTCGATAATTTTAAAATATATAAAGATGGTTTATATGAAGGCGTGAACATAAAAAATCATTGAAAAATAAGAATCACTGTGTATCTGTTTTGTTCTGGTATTAGGCTCACCATTATTCATCTACAACATCAGGGATTATACATAGCACTTTCACATCTTGTGGCAAGCGCTTTACTCTTAAAATACTAAGTTTGCATTTCTAGTTTCAATCAACTGATAATATCACACAATCATCCTTTAATATCACTGGCTTATTTCTGACTCTTTTGTAACTCCATCGATCACAAATCCTCATTATTTCAAATTTATTTTCTTTATAAAGTCACATCAGTTGATATTTAATAAGACTAATCAATGTGCCAAATAATTTATAAGATTCTAAATATAATTTTTTGACTGAATTATTCATGCCCTCGTAAGTATCTGGTTGAGATATTTCTGGTTATTAAACTATAAATATTTCTCTGTACATAAAGCACAGGTCAGTGTACTTGGCTTTCAATCAATCTATGTTTTCACGAAATGCCTTCATCCATCTGAAATTAACTTCTTCCTATGCCAATGGTAATAGTTGTAATCCTAGTTAAATAGATCAGATCAGGCCTAGTTAGAGTGGCGTCTAGTACCTAAAGCAAACGGTAACCTAAGTAGTACGGGGTTTGTTCTGAATAACACAAAGTGGTTACAAATAACCGTAGAAACATGAACACGTAATTTATGTCTACAGTTGGTTATTTAGTTTAAAATTATTTCACTATGCATACATCCTTAAAAAATTCAGCAAAATACTGATTGTCATATTAAATTTGATAAGTTCAGTAAACATAAGTACATTATACTCTATGATTTTCATAGTTCACATCAGCATTTAATCTTAGACTATCAATAAAATCGGAAATCACTGAGTAACCATTTTTCTCCTCAGTAATGTGTATTTACTATCACTCTGGGGGTCGAACCTAGGACTTTTATGATTCCGTAGAATTTTTTGAAAGATGTTAATCTTATATTATACAATAAGGAGATTTTCAGTTGAATAGCTGGCAGAATAAGCTACTCAGTTTCTACTAAACTTGTCGTCTAACAACGATGCGCCATCCGTTACATAATTATGGATTCTTTGACGTAAAACAAATCATTTCACACTTGAGCATGCTAAAAGTGGGCAACAGTTCAGTTCACAGTCATTCAGTTTCATTAGTAATATGCTAAGTGGCCTACAGATCAAAAAGTTCTCGGTTTCCAACTTCAATCTATGGAACAGTTCATTCTATAAGTAGGAAATCAGTTCACTACCTCAATTACTAATAGTTACGAAATAATCATTTTCTTGTCGATTTCTACTGACAAAACTGTCTTACAACAATAACATTACTTCTTAAATTCCAACAGTACTTAATTTAAATGCTTGCCTCAAAGAAAAGCGAACTTGGGTTAAGTAAACTGGAGTTCCTATTTCTTGTCGACTTTTTTGTTCAAATGTAATAAAAGTGAGCATTAACATTTAAATGTTAATATATGTTATCCAAAACGTTTCTGGAGGTAGTGTTTCCTGTGATCTGGATGGTTTAATCGCTAAGTATTCTTGTCTTTTTAGGCAAAATATGGAACAGTATTTTAGATGTTCAACATTTAACTACTATGTTGTAGGTTCGAATGCTACACCACCTACTTTGCTCCAGGCATTTGGTCAATACAATCTTTGTCTTCATAGTAAGGATAGAGCTCGAAGCTGTGTACACGAATCTAAATGGATTCATAGATAATAATAGACAGTCTGTCACATGAATCACTCAGCTCAGAGAGCACGACACTTCTAGGATTCCTTCCTCTTGAGATAAGAGTATTCTCTATCATCTCTGGTAATCCAAGATACACAAACAAATGTTTATCTGATAGGAAAATTGTTTTCTATATGTGTTAAACTTTGGTTGGATAATTGTCTTTCTAATGCTTCGTATTCTGTTTTTGTGTTCTGTAAAAGGACCTTTCACTCCGAAATTTCTTTCCGTTAATAATAATAATAATAATAATAATAATAATAAGTATTATTATTATTATTTCGTTCTTGCCTCGATTTAATCAGTGATTAGAAAAATATATGCGATCGTTCTTGCTTATCTTTCTCTGTTGTAACACTCAAGATTAGCTTTGGTTTTCGAACAAACTTTTTAATCGTATAAATGGAATGGATCTGCCAAGATTTCTTGTTTATTCTGAAGTTGATTTTGATTATAAATTGATACCATTTAGAGAAATTTTGGAATTAGTCAAGTTGGATAAATGTCACTCCATATTTCATATAGTCTGAATTCGAAAAATATGAATCAAAGCATTTCATCGGGGTGATCTGAGAAAATCTTGATTGGCGCGAAACTTCAAAATCCTTGTTTCAATTACGTGTTGTCATGTTATTCTATTGTTCGGTATTCTGTAGATGCTATTTCACTAAACAATTTCTAAATCTTAACAATTTAAAGTGAGGTATGTATATGTAGATCACGATAAACTTAAATATTAAGGATACAGTAGTAAAGACTTTAGAGTTTATTTACATATTACTTAAAAATTTGGCATTTCGACCCATCCACTAGATCTAACTGATTAGTATTCTCAATAGCAACGACTGAAGAACAATGATCAGCTGACCACCCATAACTTGTCCCTTAAAACGACCTAACAACGTGAAGTATAGTGTTTAAAGAAACTCTGTAGATTACAGTAGTTCCATACCAGTATGATATTTTCATTCAGATCTCAGTATTGTATACTCTTTATGTTTCTCTGGTTTTGTTTTATTGTTAAATCTCAGGTGATCTTGGAACCTTATTTCGGTGATACATTGCCAGGTTGGCGACCACGTCGTCTTGGTGGTGGATTAGGTGGTCGTAAAGAAGCTGGGCAGTTACGATTTGGAGGAATTGCTCGTCCTTTTAGACGTCCATTCACTGCAAATATGCATCACTGACAGTAAATGAAACAAATTTTTGCAGAGTTTCATTCTCTTAGAAAAATACAATTAGTTATGTAAAAAGTAATTTGTGCACACACGAATATGCATATTGAACTGTTAATTGTGAATGCTTGAATGTTTTCGCTCACATTTCTTAGTTGTTTTTTCCACAGTATTTTTAAATTTTACATGGTTTTCAGGTTTTAGATAATTTTTAATAGACATAATGAGCAAAGTCCTAATCAGCAGGAGAGTGAATGACTCACAAAATTTATTTATTTCAACCTCATCCTGTTTCTTTTTCTGTTAATATTCTGTATATAAGTATGTTATTTTGCTAAAACGAGACATTATCCTAGGCGATTGCTTTGTTTTGTGGATAGCAATCTAATTGGGAGCTTACGTCAATAATTCAGTTTTGTGAGCTCGACCAAATTGTGCCGTTGAATATTATCATCTGTTAATTTAATTATCACCTAAACATCTTTTCACTAGAAGTTAGAAAAGGATAATTCTAAATGGTAACATTTGATAGTGTTTTGGATATCGATTTCATCTTGACATATATACTAGTGTATATTTCTCTTTTCAAAACATGAATTTTGTACAACTTTATACATATTAATCTACAAATAAATTGAAGTGTAGAAATTGTAGATGAGTTTAATGATTGATATCAACTAAACACAATAACATTTATTAGGCTTTAGACAAGATCTGTTGCGTGATATTGTTATAATGCTGCTATGTAGCTATTCGAAATCCTACCGCTTGGGTAAATTCAGATATTCCAATGCGATCCCAAATACTATTCCCAAATCTTCAATATATCAGAACACAACACCGCTAGATGAAGTTGTTTGATGAGGTCGAGTACAGGAGTGAAGGAAGGAATGAAGGAATAATAAGCCTTACAGATAATGCATATTTGTACAGTTAGGTCGAATAGGAAACAACACTGAAGTCTGTGGCATTGATAGTTAGGACGGCCATAATATTGACCAGGAGGAATCAACCAATAGAATTAGACTTCCAAAAATAGTTCCCTTAGGATATTTGATGAATATCCTAACAGATATAAGGCTACCAAAATTATCTGATACGATCCTTATTCCTTTAAAGTCATTGACTGTTGAGGGATAGACCAAAACATCTTCACAATCGGTTTTATGCAGATCGAAAGACATGCCGACAAATGAAGATGAGGCAGACGATGTAAGCTTCACGACCGAACCATTCAGCTTAGATTATATCACGTCAGAGAATTTATTTCGTCAGTCAGTAATTGAATATAAATTTTTATGTATTCAGCAATAATTAAGCCGTCTAAAAAATTCCGTTATATTAAAACACGGAAATTATCTACTTTTGAGTCAATTAGAGCTCTTAAAGTTACCGTATCTGAATTTAAGACTGTAAGTAAGGTAAGATTGTTCTTATCGTGATGACGATTATGTAACGTTAAATTCGATAAATGGAAGGGATTTTAAAGGTTGGATAACTTCACTCGATGCTCTGCCAACTAAAATAGCTGATGAAGCAGTAACAAGGAAGTTGAACAGAAAAGTCACCTGAATAGCACGGATATACGCATTTTCTAAAAGATTGGTTTGTGGTAACCGGCGCTTCACTAATTTCGTGGCGGTCGACATTGAATGTATTCTTAGACTTCGCATGTTGCTCATCCACATAACCGTTACTAAATAGCGCCTCACAGTTTATAAATCAGAAGAAGTGTTAAATACGTTTATTTGGCACACCACAATTAGACCACCAAACCACAGGCACGCAGAGCGAAAATCAATATGCGGACGCCGAAGGACAAGCGAGCGAATCGGCGAATTACTTAATAAGATTAAAATGTACATATGTACACATAGGAAATTGGATAAGTCATCGAAATATTTAAGAGTAACATTAAAGCGAATAGGATGTATATACGCGTAGTTGGTAAGCAATGCTCGGTCGTGTCAGCTCACAAAAACCAGACAATAATAAAATCTAATGGTACATATAATTTATTTCTATACAAATAACTCGATCAAACAAGTCAATCAAAAGGTTTAACCATATTGAATATGGATTAACTAAAACGTATGTTGACGTACTACAAATTGCTTACACTGGCTACTTTTTGTATTAATCAATTCTACCGCTTTTGTGGTGCAATTTGCACCACTCAATCTCTATGAATTCGCATTTTTGTACACTTGAGTACCTTTCAGCATGGCTATAAGTAGAAACAGCTCACATTTACACCATTTAGTTCAACTGGGTCATAGATTGTTTGCAATATTTTACCGTGTTAGTAATTATCCGCCAAAATCCTACAGGTTCAAAGTTCTTCAGACGATAAAAGCCACTGCCATAGTAGTTACAGAACTGAAGCTTTGGGCACACGATATCACCAACTAAATTACCTTGACCAGCCTCATTACGAGTAGGCCAGTATCCTTTTCAATCCCGAAACAACCTAATTTGTTTGGTGTACATATGATATATCGAGTTGTTTCCGGTTGTTACTGTAATTACCAGTACAGGGTTGTGGATATTGTTGAGATCAAGAACCGATCTGAAGGGAAAAACCTCATGAGATCTGGGGGCACTGTACCTATATGGTGTTCGAGCGTGGGGAGCCTCAGTAGTGCGCACCCATGACCACACCACCATGGGTTGAGTTCAGGGTTTTTGTTTCCGACAGTAGCTGCTACCTTGATGTGGTGGTCGGGCTTGCCTATCGTGATGACCCAACCGAGCTATACTGGCTGGAACATATGTTCCTGTACGATCTACCATGCCAGGCAGGTCGATTGGAGAACGATGAGACTAAAAGCAGCTACTCAAGGTCTGAGGGCTAAGTCATACTACTGACTGTAGAGGGGTGTGGTAACAAGAAGGCGTTTCTCTCGGAAAACCAGCATCTGCAGCGATGCTGCCTTCTAACAAGGAAGGAATGGTTAGAAAAGGTCGACCCTGAAAATGTCACCTCACCATACCTCACGGATTTCCGTCTCCGGCGGTATGGGTACCCACTAAGGGCTTTAAACGAGCGGAGCTAATACCCAAAAAACCCTTCATAAAAAGGCCGTGTGTGACTGGCCTAAAGCAGTTGTCCCTTGGGCTCTGCGGTCACGATCCCAGGTCTCAAGACCAAAACTAATCTATCTTCCTTTTCAGGTCCCTCACGAAACAACCTTCCACGATGTGGGCAGCCGGGAAGTGACATCCGCCCTCATACCCGTACCAGCACACGAGACCAAATCGGTCACGATCAAATCCTTTCTACACCTTTTAATAACTCTCTTATGTCCTCGACCAACCCTTCTTTCGATCGTTTATCACCTCTCGCCACTGAAGCAAACGGTATGAGCTCACAAAACATCATTCCTTGTCTCTTGAAACCCCGTACCAAATTACATATACGAGCTTTTAATGCTTGGATTCTATGCCAAATAGGTCAACAGGCTTCATTAGCTAGAACTGTACAATCCCGGACGATCAATGTATGTTGCGTCTCGGAAACGCGCATACTAGACCTGAGTAAAATCATCGATTTGATCTCACTTAGTGCAGACGGAGACGCAACAAAGTTTACGCTTCATGTTTCTGGAAACCCTGATGTCGTTTCTCGTGGCCTCGCTGGCGTAGGTATAGTATCAAGTCCTGGGGCAGAACTAGCTCTCTTAGACTGGGTCCCGATAGACAGCCGCTTATGCGCTGTCCGACTAAACGGGACGGTACAGACTCAGAAGGATAGGGGCACTAGCTGTTGCCTCTTCGTCGTATCTGCCTGTGCCCTCACTGACTGCAGTTCAGACGAGGTTAAAGATGAGTTTTACAGAAAGCTTTCACAATTCCTCCAAAAAGCTAGGCGCTCTGATATAGTTATAATGGCTGGTGACTTTAATGCTCAAGTACGTAGACTGAGTGAAAGTGTGAAAGACACCTAGGTGGATGTTATGGTGTCGCGGCTCAGAGAACAGATAATGGCGACCGTTTGTTGCAACTGTGCTCAGATAAACGCCTATTTCTGGCAAACACTAACCTTAAGAATAAGGAAAAACATCTTTTGACCTTGCGACTCCCAAAGTCGTCTCAACGATGAACCCAACTAGATCACATTGCTGACAGCCACTGAAGGAGAGTCTCGATAGAAGACTGCTGTTCATTCTGGAGCACTTGTTTAGATTCAGATCATGCCCTGGTGCGAGCGCGTATTTGTTTGCGACTTATCGGACGTAGGAAAAACACCACAAGGAAGCCTCTTAGGGTTTTACTCAATGATAATAAATCTAAGAATATATTTCAGAGGCAACTAGAAAGAGAGTGAGGCAACCATGTAAAAGATTCCCATCCGGAAGCAGGTTGGAACGATATCAAGAAGGCTGTGGAAACAGCAGTGATATCTGCTAGTAAGGTAAACCATAAGGTTAGGGAGAAGCCGTGGATTTCAGTGTCATCTCTCGAATTGATGGATGCTCAAAAGCTCGTCCTACCTGTCTCTGAGTGCGATGAGGAGCGGAGCCGTGCAGGCTGATAAAAAGCCTTTGCAATGATCGAGAACAGTGGTGGGTAGCGAAAGCAAGGGAGATGGAAAATGCAGCGGAAATAGGCAACAGTAGACAGTTGTTCCGACTTATCGAGGAAACCGTTATTAGGAATCCAAATGTGAGTCTATCTCGGAAAAGGATTGGAGTATTATCCATTCTCAATCCAGGAGACTGGATCGATGAGCAGAACACTTGAACGGTCAGTTCAACTGGCCTCGAGCCACTCTTCGGTTACCCACGATCTCCAGTCATCCTGAATGGCAAATCGACGTAAGCCCCCCTAGTCTGTATGAAGTTGAGAAAGCGTTAGGAACTCTGAAACGAGGACGAGCTGCAGGTCCTGATAGACTGACCCCTGAGAATCTTAAGGATGGTGGTCCAGTTTTAGTAGCTAGGTTGACTGAGATCTTAGGTAGAATCTGGGAACTGGAGGTAATCCCATCCGCGTTGTCTCAATCACTGATTGTCTCAATCTATAAGAAAGGACAGAAGTCTTCTTGTGACAATCACAGGGGAATAAGTCTAACTAATATAGTATCCTAAATGTTGGCCTCAGTAATACTTCGACGCTTAACGAAAACCCATGAAGAGCAGACTAGAGAAAACTAGGCTGGTTTCAGACCTGGACGTGGATTTACAGACCACATCTTCACTCTAAGACAGATCCTGGAACACAGACACACATTTAGGCGTCCTACAATAGTTGTCTTGCTGGACCTTAAGACGGCGTTCGACTCTGTTGATCGTGAGGTTCTGTGGCAGTGTTTGTCATTGAAAGGTGTACCAAAGAAGTACATTAACCTTATACAAGCTCGCTACTCGAACACGGCTGGTCGAGTGAGAGCTTATGGCGAACTGTCATCGGAATTCTTTACTTCAAGTGGTGTCCGTCAGGGATGTCCACTTTCTCCATCCTTGTTCAATTTTATCATAGACATGCTCCTAGATATAACCTTATCCTCGTCTGAGTTTTCAGGAGTAGATCTTTTAGCAGGAGGCTCGCTCATTGACCTTGAATATGCCGATGACATAGTCCTACTTGGTGAAGACGCTGACAAAATGCAGAGTCTTATAACCACCCTAAGTAACAATGCAAGCATGTTCGG